CGCTCGGTACCGTCGCCTTTACTTTCGTACAGGGAGCCGCCCATCCCCCCCGCCGCCAACTTTCCGAGCAATCATCGGGTCCTGTCCCCGCCAGCGTCAGAAGCAAGCACCTTGCACCAAAGTGCCTGGCCACCACCACCGACAGGCGACAGCATCCTGGGCCCTTTATTTCTTTCCCCTCCCCCGCCCTTGGAGCGCAACTCTGCCTCTGTCGCCAGCCTTGTTCCTCCTTTGAAGTCTTCGACCACGCGCCGCTCCCTTCCGCCGTCGCCTAAAATCCACGATCAGTTCGACTCAACGCTTTTCCTTTTCCTCGGCGACCAGTAGTGCCTTTTCGCCCGCGCCGGCATCGGCCCACTCGTTCCGAGCGACGACACTGTGTTCTTGCCGCCGACGCCGTCCCACGACTCACATCGCGACAAACGCAGGCCACCCACCACCACGCAATCCCGCTCTTCCGCCGACCCTGAGCCAAACCTGCCCCCCCGGGATCTCGGTATCTGAAGTAGTCGTCGAGGCTCGTAGTTAGCCATGGGCAAATCGTAAGTCTGCCCGCCCCCCAAACGTGCCTTTCCTTGCGGTCCCATTGTGTGGCAGAAATGGACCGAGGGCATGTCATGTTGAGGCGATCCGCCTCTCCAGAAACATGGAACAACCGCGCTTTGATCGTCAGACTCGCAAGCTAACAATATTACTCCTCTAGTCAGTCCAAGCTCTCCCAGGAGCAGCTAGCTGAACTGCAGAAGTCCACCCATTTCGACAAGAAGGAGTTGCAGCAATGGTACAAGGGTATGTCAGCATCGATCTATGCTTGATCGTCTGTTTCCGCGCAAGGCCTATCTTCCCAGTACCGAAATCAAACTGACAATCCGTGGCAGGCTTCCTCAAGGATTGTCCCTCGGGCATGCTCACCAAAGAAGAGTTCCAGAAGATATATAGGCAATTCTTCCCCTTCGGTGATCCAAGTTCATTTGCAGATTATGTCTTCAACGTCTTCGACAGCGACAAGTCGGGTAGTATCGACTTCAAGGAGTTTATCTGCGCCCTCAGTGTTACCAGCCGAGGCAAGATGGAGGACAAACTCGACTGGGCTTTCCAGCTGTACGACATTGATGGGGACGGAAAGATCAGCTACGATGAGATGCTCAAGATCGTCGAGGCAATCTACAAGATGGTGAGTCTCTTCTCAGTGGGCGTATGGTGCTTTTGTTGCGTTCACGATCCACGGCACCCCGCCCTCCCAACAAAATGCTGACAAAGATGACGCGCAGGTCGGCTCCATGGTTAAGCTCCCTGAAGACGAAGACACCCCCGAGAAGCGCGTACGGAAAATTTTCCGCATGATGGACAAGGACGAGAACGGCAGCCTGGACATGGAAGAGTTCAAGGAGGGAAGCAAACGTGACGAGACGATTGTGTCGGCACTGTCTCTCTACGACGGCCTGGTGTAGTGTGGCGCGGAGCAGGTGGAGGCTCTCATACCACCGCCACACACCCTCGGGTCTGTTTTCATGATTATATGTGTTTTTGGGCAAGGCGAGCTGCGCGCAGTGATCAAAGTGCGACTTTTATTATCCAGGGCTAGCAGGAATGGTATTCCAATGATTTACTGCGACCTATTTTTTTTCACTCGCGTTTCCATCGTATTGTGGACGGCCAATGTCGGCCAGGTTGAGTGAGTCGTCGGATGGAAGGGAACAGCCTGCGGTCGGGTCATGATGACAATTAAGCAACCCCCGAAACTCCCGCCGGCACGGCATCCTCGGACCCAGAGACCGGGACCCCGACTCGGCCCGGCCGGGTTCAGGTGGATGACAACGCATCGGCACCACCCAGTCTCCGCCACGTCAATCCACCATGCAAACGAATCACACATGGGATGATGAAATCGAGCACCGCGTTATACCTGTAGACGAACACTTGGAATGAAACTGAGCTAGATTTAAAAAAAAAAAACACATCCTTGACCCGACCCATAAGACCCGCCAAGATACTGATGGATAAAGGTAGGTTTAATCGTTGTTACAAGGCTGGACGCGCGCACACACCCACACACAACACTATACTCCTGGATATCAAGCGTCCCGTAGCCAACCCAATCCGTTGCTGCAAAATTAGGGGAGAATTACAAGATCAAACCACATGATCAAACGTGAAGGAAACGATCCGCCCTTAAGACGAACCGTAGGCCTTGTTCACCTCGGACTTGTACTTTTCGAGGATCTTTTTGCGCTGAAGTTTCTGTGCGGCCGTGACGAGGTCCTGGGAATGGTTAGCAGTTGCTTGGGAATATGAATCAAGGATGCTCACATTTTGTGGTGTCCACTCCTCGTCGGACATGACAACGCCCTCGATGATTTCAATGCCAGAAAGGCCACCTGAGCGGCCGGCATTCTGCAGCTCCTTGAGGACGGCGCTCTGCAGCTTCTTGTCGTGCACCAGCCCCTCCAGATTGCTGCCCTGGACGCCGATGCTCTCCGCGAGCTTGATCAGAGCCGGCTCAGCAGGCACGATGATGGCAATGGGCTTGGCCTTGTTGGCGTCGGCGTAGATGCAAATGTTGGCAACCACAGCAGCAGCGCGGTAGATGGACTCGAGCTTCTCGAGCGCAATGTACTCGCCGTTGAGAGTCTTGACCAGGTTCTTCTTGCGGTCAATCAGCTTCAGGTGACCTTGGCTGTCAAACTCGCCAATGTCGCCAGTCTTGAACCAACCATCCTCGGTGATGGCCTCCTTGGTCTCCTTGGGGTTCTGGTAGTACTCCTCCAGAACGGAGGGTCCACGGATCCAAACCTCACCCTGAGGGTTGGGCTTGTTGGTGGCGTAGTAGCCGGCCTCGGCAAAGTCGACCAGCTTGATCTCAATGGACGCGGGCATCGCGCCCATGTTGTTGACGCTGAACTCCAACGGGTTCGTCAGGCAGCCCATGGCCGTGGTCTCTGTGAGACCGTAGCCGATAATCATTGGGGCGATGGCCATTGAAATGAATTGCTGGGTTTCCTTCGCAATGGGACCACCTCCGTTCATGCAAAGCTTGAGACGACCACCGGTGGCCTCCTTGAGCTTCTTGAAGACCACGGAATCGAGCACGCCGGTGCCGGGAACACCAAGGCTCATCATGTGCTGCTTGGCAGACAGGGCGTTCCAAAACAAAGTCTTGACGAGGGCGCTGCCGGCGTTGACCTTGGCGATAATGCCCTTCTTGACAGTCTCCCACACCGCGGGGACACCAACCATGACGGAGGGCTTGAACTCCCGAATGTCACCGGCGCAGTTGCGGACAGAGTTGTCGGACAGGGTCTTGGGGTTGCCGTAGCCCATGGTTGTGCCCCAGTAGATGCAGGCGTTCTCAAAGACGAACTCGAGGATGTGGGCGAGCGGGAGGTAGGTCAGGAGACCGTCGCCGGGGCCAATGAAGGGCTGAACAACGGCACTCACACCAGCAACTTTGCTTCGTTAGTGGGGGTCTGCTCACAGTTCCGGGGAAAGACATACCAGCGGCCACAACGGCCTTGTGCTTGAGGGGAACACCCTTGGGGGTTCCGGTTGAGCCAGATGTGTACATGATGCAGCACAGGTCCTCGGTGGCGGGAGGAACCGGGTCGACCATGTTCTCCTCGCCGAGCTTTCGCAACTCCTCGAAGCTCATGACCTGGATCTCGGGGTGGGCAGACTTGAGCTGCTCGAGGTGTGTCTGCTGGATCTGGTGCTGGTTGTTCCAGATAACGTAGCGAATGTCCTTTGCCTCCTGGAGAACGTTGCCCAGCGTAGGCAGCAGGTGGGGGTCGAGGAAGATGGCCTTGGCGGACGTAGCCACCATGGAGTACTTGAGTCCCTCTTCGCCGAGGGTGTCGTAGGCGGTGACCACGGGCATGGACTGAGAGGCAGCGCCATGAGACATTGCCAGCCAGTGTTGGCTCGTGGCGGCGTAGAGGTGCAGACGATCGGCCTTGGTCAAGCCAATCTTGCGCAGACCGGAGCCGAGCTGGAGGGTAAGGCGCTCGTACTCGTGGAAGGTGATGTATTCGTAGGGGCTCAGCTCAAAGTAGGTCCATTGCTTGTCGACCTCGCGCTCCTCGCCGTCAACCATCTTCTTCACTTTCTTGGTCTCTCGGTGGGTGTTGACCAGCTTGCGCGAGCCCAAGCACCTGGCGTTGCCGTACTTCTCGGCGCTCTGCTTGACGAGCTCGAAGGTGGTTGTGATCTTGCCGCTGCCGGGGACGGTGATGAGGTCGGGGACCGCCTGGGGAAGTCGGCGGGGCAGAGTCTCGCCGTCCTTGGCTTCGGCGCCGGGAGAGGGAACGGAGAAGGGCCCCTTTGCCTGCATCCTGGGCAGGATGTCGAGCTTCGACTTGGGAGGCGGGACCTGAGCCATGGTGGGCAAAGTTGGCGAGTAACGGTTCGGCTACTTCGTCTGTGTGAGGATCGGAGAAGCTCTAGAAAAGGCGGGTATCGAAGCGCGGAAGCGACGGGTCGCGAAGGCGGTTTTTACCTTTGCGACAGTGGAAGGATTCTGCCCGTCCAGACGAGTTTGTTTGGTAGAGGGTGGGAAACACGGTCAGGTTGGAGGAGTGTTGGGAAGATAATTGAGGAAAGCAAGTCGAAAATGTAGGGGCAGGGCAACCCAAGGTATTTGAATTTGAGGAGAGGGCAAGGAAGGACCTGACGGGTGAAGGACGTATGTACCACGGCACGCAGCGGCGAGAGTGGCAGAGAGGCAGAGGCGGACTGCAGAGACAGGCTCAGACTGGTGGAGGACGAGGAGCTTGGGGGAAATCTTGGCTGCCACTACAAGGTTCCTAAGGTTGCCTCTGCAGGGCGAGTGGATCTCCAATGCTCCATGATGCTCGAGGTACGTACTTACTCACTGAGGTCCTGCAGATGGCTCAAGCTCCAGCATCCGCGGCCGCCCTCGTCCAGTAAGAAGGGACGCCTTCCAGGTTCCCGTTGGTACCGACTGCACGTTGGACGTCCCTAAAGTTGAGGTACCTTGGCGGGAGATGCGTCGTTGGGGTCAATTGGAACGGCGCGGTACCTTGCCTCCCCTAGGTCTCTGCCTTAGTACAGGCAGGCAAGAGAAGTAATGGAAGTACCTTTGGGGTTGGGTTCAGCGTCATGCTCTCCACTGCCCGTGTCCTTCGGCCGACCTTACAGACGTTTAAGATTCGAGGCGCAACGACAGCTGCACCTTAGAGGACCGTCACCCACTCGCCCCATCTAGCAGCATTGGCGAACGGCCGCAGGATAAGTACCTATCCAGCTATCCCAAGGTAGACTCTCACTCAACTTGCCCATCGTCTGCTCTTTTCCCCGCCTCTCCAGTTGGGGTTGCCTTCACCATGCCTAGGTAGCCGTAGACCATACTCGCCTCGTGTCTGTCTCTGGTTCCGTTGAATGTTTCAATCTTCCCGTCTTCAACATTCCCTCCGACCCTCCGTACCATCGTGGCTCGTGATCAGGCATGAGCCAAAAGTCCACGTAGCCGTACCAGCTCGAGTGAGAACCGCCATGCAACAGGGCGTGTTCCTTCACCCCTATCTTGGCCGAGGCGCCCAGCCCAGGCTTACATGGCCATCCCATCCCAAGACGGCCCCAAGATGCCCAGTTGCATTTCCGGGGAAAGTCAAACGGGGGGGGGGGGGGGGGGCCAACCCCCTTCTTCTAATCTCCACGCGCCACACCGCCCCCCCCCCCCACCCAGCCCCCCCCCCCCCCACACACGCCCCACACGGCAGTTTCCCGGTGCGGGGGAGAGAAGGGGGGGGGGGGGGGGGGGGGAGACACCAGACGCCTATATTGAACTTCTCCAGGTCACCCAAGCCCCCCCTTTGCTCATGCAACACCACGGGATACACCTGTACGAATACAGGCCGCACCAACTAGGCATTCTCGCCAAATACCAAGCACGACACCAAACCCGATGAAGCCGTCACAAGAGTCACGGAGCAGGGTGGTGAGTTCTCGCCGCTCTTGGCAAATTGGTTGGCGCCTTGCCTCGATTTCATCCCACTGGACTACTGGACTACTGGGCACTGGACCGTCCGTCAGCGCCTCCAAGGTCAGCCGGTTGTGTTTCGCACCCCTTCGTTGCCATCCAATGCAAGACCACAAGGCCGTGCATAGCCGTCAACAATATTCCCCAGGAAATCGAGCACCCGGTGGAGGTGAGAACTTTGAATATAAGTCGCAGCCAAGTAAGCCTTCTTCAGCTCCCTCAACCGTCCGATAACCAACACAGCCACCGTTGCAGGAGTCTTTGTGCTGTCGGGTTCGCTATCGAAAGCAAATCGACCCTAGCTGGATTACTTATGCCTCTCCCATCATGCCTTACAAAGTAGTGGCCACCCAACCGGTCGGTTCCTAGCCCACTGACTGCGTGTTGCTTTGTGATTAGGGATCGGTTGGCTTTGGTACTCCTGTTGGGGAGCACCAACACGGCCAAGGTTTGCAGTGTATGCGTAGCAGTGTTGCTCTTTACAGACAGTATCGACCAACACCTCGGTATCCCATCGGCTTGCTGATGATGTGCCCGAAAAACTCACAGTGTCTAGACGTCATTCTTACACGGAGGCCAATCCAGCCGAGCCACAGTGAAGCGCATGCTCAAGTGGCTCAGAAGCACCCTTTGATACATAAGCTTACCAAATCATCTCTATAAAAGGTATATGCAGATTAAGGTCCACCGGTGATCGGAACTAAAGCCCTTCAGCTACAGCTACCTATCAAAGGTACCTTACCTCACTTAGAGCTCCCCTGCTCCAAAGTACTACAAGGCTTCACTTACACCGAGCCTTGGACTTCGATTCACCGACCACACGTCAGCTGCTAGCTATCAAGACTCACAGTCGTCTCAAAAGCGAACATGGCTTCTCTAGTAGCTGCAAAGAACCAGCTGCGTTCTGTCATGAAGGACAGACTCGCTCTCATTGCCCACGAATCCATCAACACTCAGAGTAAGACATTGCTTCCAATGCTGCGTCCCGACGCCGTCTTACCTTGTCCTCCTAGGCCGAGCAGTATTTGAGACGCTCAAGACCTTTAAACCATACGTGGAAGCACAGAGGGTCAGCGTCTTCCTCTCTATGTCCTTTGGCGAAATCCAGACAGACCAAATCGTGCGCCACGCTCTGTCAGCAGGAAAGCACGTCTACGTTCCGTACTTACACAAGTCGCCTTTCCCGCCTGGGGAGACGCCGCCCAGGGTCATGGACATGGTCCGTCTGCGCGACATCCACGACTACGAATCACTTCAACCTGACAAATGGGGCATCCCCAGCATTGACCCCGAGACGGTACACCAGAGAGATCGCGTCCTAGGCGAGCCTGGTGCCGAGTCCCCTGATTCCTCATTCTTGGACCTGATGCTACTCCCCGGGGTCGCATTCGACGTTGACGATAACTCGGGCTCACTACGGCGCCTTGGACACGGAAAGGGCTTTTATGATCTTTTCATCCGCAGGTACACGGCAAAGTATGACGGGGAGCTGTCGTCTCCCAAGCGTCCTGTATTGCTCTACGGCCTGGCTCTCGCGGAGCAGTTCATCTCTCGACCCTCCGACGGACCTATTCCCGTGGCTCAGCATGACCAACCACTCCATGGTCTCGTTTTGGGCAACGGAAAGGTCAAGAGGCCGGCAGATAGTTCCCACAACAAATAGCTTTTCTTCTCTTCTTGCCGCCTAGCCTTTCGGGGTGACAGATCCGTGGTATCAACTTTTTGTGCAATCGCCCCAGAGCGTGCTTCGCCTTTGCGGCGTCATCCTCTCAACTCGAGTCGTTCTCTAACTCGATAAACTTTGGATCAGCGACACGTTGTCGCCCTTCAACAATATTTGTCCTGCGTGCAGGTTAGCAAACCCGCGCTTGACATCTCTGGCGTTGGAGCGGCATACCCAGCGGCCTCCTCTTCTCTTCGGGGTTCGTCTTGGTCACCTGCTTCACCTCGACTGCGTCGTCAATGACGAGGTTCATGAACTCGTCGAAACCCTATTCCTTTGTTAGCCATCGCGTTGAGCCGTATAGGTGGGAGAGATCACGCGCGCACCCTAATCTTGCCCTCAATCCGGATTGAAAGCTGCTCGTACAGCCAGATTTGCACCGTGGTGTGTTGCCTGCAAGAGATCAGTACAAGAAAGTTCAAGGATACGGAACCAGAACTGACTGGAGGAGCTTGAAGATGAAGTTGATGGGAGGAAGCAGGACTCTGCGACCGCCACCGCCTCCGCGTCCAGTCATTTTCGCGTGTGTGAGTCGGGAATTGAAGCGATTAGGTGGTCGGGCTCGGATGGCAGACGTTTGGTTCTCGTCGGTCGCGTTTGGCTCGTGTCGATGAAATGTCGTGGGGCAATTGGTCGCAGGCTGAACGAGATCGCAGAGAGGCTGGCTTGGTGCTCTGCCTGGCCCAGGTCGGATGCGCAAGGCTCGGTCAGTCGCTGGGAGAAATCGGACGGAGCGGGCGAAACGATGTTCCACCTGCTGGCAGACCCCACAAAATCAAACAGATCAATAGGAGCTGGTTTATGGCATATAATTATGGGCCCAATCATGTGCAGGCCGCTCTCAGTGACAGGCCTCCCCCTGCAACACTCTGCTTGCCTATGGACAACCTTGGAAAACAGCCGTCGTTGTCAAAGATACTTACCCCTCCACGCCATTTCGGGCGGAAGCCTGAAGTACCTTTCTGGCAGCCATAGTCCCCAGGTTAAGGTACCCTGCCGTCTGTCTTCGAGATGCCCTACGAGAGTGCTATGCGGTAAAACCTTCTTAGCCGGGTTTAGTTAGGTTACCTTAGGTTCCTTGTGCTCTGATCCGCCCGCTGTCCCGCCAGCCTGACTGACGTTTTATTTTCCTTTCGCGAACCTCCCTCCACCACCCCCTCCATCTGCCACTTTTGGACCATTGTCGGCGCACTGCTTTGATAGCCATTCAATCTGCCACCCCAGCAGCTCGACGCTCCTTACAGCCCGCAAAGAGCTCACCTCCTCCCTCTGCTGCGCGAGACTTTCGACTTTCCTTATACCACACGCCCTTGCGGTTCCCTAGCGCGACGTCAAATAGCACCACAACCGCCACCTTCCTAAACTGCCACCTCACACCGAAATCGCTCTTGGTTGCCCGCGCCATCCATCCCCCGCGATATATACCGGCCCAAAATCATGGCCACGAATGGTGCTTCGGAGGCCTTTGCGCCCCAGGATGTCCTATCGGCTATGGTTACGATGCGTGGTGGCGAGCAAGAGAACAAGAAGAAGGCGCACGCCTACTTGGAACGGTTCCAGAAATCTGTCAGGACACCCGGACACGGAGCGAATGACCAACACCCTTGCTAACGAATGTCTGCAGAACTCTGCGTGGAGCACCATCTTTGGTATTCTTAAGGACAGCGCAGAGCCCGAGGCCCAGCTCTTTGCGGCCATTACGTTGCGCGGAAAGGTAGATAGGTGCGGCAGTACTTGATGCGACAGCGAGCTCACCATGGCGTTCTCCAGATCACCTACGACCTTTCGACGCAAGTCCCAGAAGCCGAACTCCCTGCGTTGCGGGATCAAATCCTTCTCCTCCTCAAAGGCTTCGCCGCCGGCCCCAAGCCGATACGAGTCCAGCTTTGCGTCTGTCTGGCAACACTAGCGGTGCAGATGACGGCATGGAAGGACGTCCTTCCCACGGTGGTCTCGTCGCTCGGTGACAGCGTCGAGAGCCACGCAGCCATCCTCGACTTCCTGCGCGTACTGCCCGAGGAGGTGACCGAAGGCCGCAAAATCACCTTAACTGTATGTGGATCACGGAAACATCGAACGGCCTCTCACTTCCCGCGACGTGGTTTTACCGGGCCGATTTCAACAAGGATCAGAGTCTAATTGGCAATGATAGGAAGAAGAGCTTTCCGAGCGGACCAAGGAATTGCTGGGTGACAATACGGATCAGGTCGTGCAGCTGCTCATCAACTACTCACAATCTTCTGGTAATACCCGTCTCCCTTCGAGCCCATTTGCGGTCGAGACTGACCCTTTCCTGTAGCATCCGCCGCCCAAAACCCGCAGCTGATGGAGTGCATCACATCATGGCTGCGCGAGGTCCCCGTCAGCACCGTCGTCAACTCCCCCCTCCTCGACGTTATCTTTAACGGTGTGAGCAACGATTCGGCTTCCCAGGAGGCGGCGGAATGCTTGTGCACAGTCTTTAGAGAAACGCGGGATGTGGACGATAATCTGGAAACAATCC